GGATACTCCAATGTGAGTTATACTGCTACTTGTATAAATCGTTATATACATAACTATCCATCGTTTGGTTGTATGTGGGTTGAATGAAATTGAAAGGGTGGTTGAAAGCTCCAATGTGAGTTATCTTGTCACTTGTTTGAATATAGATTGCTTGAAATTGATTAGTAGAGGTTTCAATGTGAATCAATCCACTCCCTATGTGTGTCAGATTAAGAAGAACCCAAGGAAAATAGGAAATAAGCGTACTCTAGTGAGAGTAACTTTTACGTGTCATAAAAGAACGGAAGAATGATCAAAGCCGCTAAAAAAAAAAAAAAGGAAATAATAATAACCATATAAAGTGAATTCACTTGTGGACTTTGAAAATAATATGAATATGGGCTCAAGTTAATTGTAGTCACGTAAGCACCAAAATGTGTACTTAATCCGATGAGAGAAAATGAGGAGATTAAAACTAAAAAAAAATATAATTTTCTGTTAACGATTTAGGACATAGGCGCAAGTCTACTTGAGGAAAAAAACGAAGGGATAAATGACACAAACATGTTGTTAAGTAGGATTAGGAGTTGAACTTTGGAATGTCATTCTGAAAGCTTACGATTATGCTGTAAGGATTCGACCTTCGAAAAACAAGTGGGCGAAAAACGAAACATGGGATGTTGAGTATTTGTCAACTTGTATGTGTGCAAATTATTGTCATACTTAATTGAGAAAGGACTTGTTGGAAGGAACCGCACGATCTACAATTGATAACATGTCGGTTTTTATCGATTCAACTATTCCTCTTTGACTTGATACCCACACATGAAGACAAACCTTGTAGCTAGTAAAAATTTTCACCTTTATTCAAATGTCTGAATAATCATAATCACGCTCAAGAGTCCTTTGAAGTAAAGTGAGGGTGTTGGGCTCGACAAGTCTCAAGAAAAATAAAACTGCTAGACGTGGTTTTGGGAAGTGAGAGACAAATCAATAATTTGGACTGAAGGTTGACTCCGTTAGTGCATGATATATGGACTGTCCTTATATGTTTTTTGCAAATTCGTCGTGTGCGAGTGTTGGTTTGAACTGGATTTGACTGCTTTAAGAACCTCGGGCGCACCGCACTTGTGAAAGTGGAAAGTGTTTCGTCTGTAATACCTTATACTCAATATTGCCTAATAAACCTTTATTTTATTTCCACAAGAGTTGTAATTGTCCGAGTAAAGACATTCCTAATAAAGTGAGGGTACGATCAAGACATTCTTGTCATTAAGTCTCAACCTTTGAAATTTTATCGTTATATGTGCATTGATTAGAGTTTTTATATAATGTATGGATAAAATGCAAATAAATTAAAGAGATGTCTGCCTGAAAGTTCATCAGTCAAAGTGAACCTGAATTATAAGTCGGTCCGGGAGATCAACGCCCCGATGCCTGACACCTATACGGGTCAGTCCTAGTTGTTCAACCTCGCACATGTCTACACTACGACGATTGAGCAAACACTCTCGACTGATTTACCTCTGCGATTGCAAGCAGAAACCTTCGCACGTGAGTCAGTAGCTCAACATGGATACACCTACCTGAGGGTGGTGACAACCCCTCGGTTAGAGGTGAGTTGTACCTTGCGGAGCCCTGTCCTGTCACAGGGAGCCGTAAAGGTATAGTTGCCATGCACGGTCAGAGTGGCATTTTCGCTGACTCAAAAACAGTATTTACCCCAGCGTGACACGACCGTGAGGTCCGACACTTACCACAGGGTGTGAGACCGCTGTGCCAGACATTTTTTTTTCCTTTTTTCGATGGATTGATTGATTAGTTTGTTGGTTGCAGGGGGGTTCCCCCCCCCTTCCCCCCCCCCCCCCGTGCACACACATACTCCTACTCACACCGCTTATTGGGGGTTCACAAGTCGTTCTACAAGCAACAAGTTTACCATCCCAAATATATATATTTTAATCTATATATACATGTATATAGAGCACGACTTCCTCGACGGGTAAAAAAAAAAAAAAAAAAAGTTAAAAAAAAAAGTTCGACGTTCGACCGAACAATAGTCAGGGGGGTTTCGAACGTTTGGCCGATCGGACCGTCTTGCTCAGCGGTTAAACGTTCAAACAGATTACTGGGGCAAAATTCCTTGTACTTCAGTCGAGAGTTTTATCATCAGATTCCAGACCAGGATTTACAAGGCCTCGCTTTCAAAGAATTATGGTAAGATGCGTGCACTTCAGACAAGAGTGGCACAAAGTTTACACGCCAGATTGTTAGCCGTTCGACGTGTCACAATGACCGAACTCGGGTAACCCTCCTTAGAACTATATATAGGTTTTGTTTTGTGATGTATATGAAACACTATAATATCACACGTGGTGAAGCAGTCGTAATGGCAGTGTATCTTCCCGTTCTCTAGCAGAAGATTCATTCTCATTTTACACATTTAGTGTCCAGGACAACTCTAGATAAAATAAGGAAAATGCAAGTCGTGGATGATGTTGAAAACTCGTAGGAGTCGCAGAGATGGGTCGCAAACCTGCACACCGGGGGAATCTCGACGGATGGACGAAACTGCTTCGCCACAACTTAAGCGAGAAGAAAAACTCCTCCCCTTCACCAGTGTTGACTGCCTGTGCTGTGGATGCAGATTCGCTCACGCCATGTACGCTGCGACGGGGCGAAGTGCAAAAGGGGCAGCACATGAGGGAACGCAACTTGCTATAGCTGGCCATGCGCTAGTCACATATACTGTTGCTTGACCAAGTGCGGTATCAGGTAGAGTTGCCGACGTAGTTCTCCACCCTGGGTGAATTCCTTGGTCCCTCGCATGCCCACTGTAGATAGTGTAGGGAATTTTTCTCAGCATCGATGGTCGTGGAAGCCTTAGAAGAGAAAACAGTCCCCCTAGAGATGTTGTAGATTGATGGTGAAGAGAAAAACCAACTCAACCGATTGGAGTTCCATATGTGAAAATTGTCGATAGTAGTAGGTCCACCCTTGATCGACCGTGGCGTGACCAACCACACCACTCGAAAACTGCACAGTTGCTGCCCAGGACAAGTCCATATAAAATAAGGAAAATGCAAGTCATGGATGATGTTGAAAACTCGTAGGAGTCACAAAGATGGGCCGCAGGCCCGCACACCTCCTAAACCATCCTAAATCCCTCCATCGTCCCGCTAATGACCGTGGCGTGTTGCAGGGAATGGTGGAATGAGCGTACAAGCGGTGGCATCTGGAGGAAGAAGTGAGCTACTCCAGAGGTTGAAGGCAACTATGCAGAAGGGCTGAAGTGGAGCAGCGATTTGATCGAGGAGTATGGTGTCGGGCGTCGGCAGAGAAATGGAATGAAGAAGATTATACTAGTGCTGAACGAATGGTTGGAGAGAAATGGAACTGGAACAAGTTGCATGGCCTGTAATGATTTGGATGTTAAAAAAAACAAAAATGAATGCATATTCTTGGTGAAAAAAAAGGTATTTGGTACTATAAGTAGCAAGAGACATATCTTTAGAAAGATACACTTTGTTTTTATTTTGGCTTTGGTGGTTATGTGGCAACGCACAAAAGTCCCCATAAAGTAAAAAAACAAATCAATGCATTTTCCCCAAACAAGGCAAGACACTTCCCGTCACCTTGAATAGAAATAGATGCATATCATTTTTTAGGGAAGATCATACGATTTTCCATCATGTTTCGCATGTTATGTGGCGAGACACAATGTTCCATAGCTACCCTGCAAGGAACCGCTCCAAGGTGTGTTATAAGGAGCCTGTGGTCCTATTCCCTTTGTTCATTCGATATCTGCCGTTGTCGAAGGTGGCATACAAAAGTGGCGAATTGGTGAGGAATCGCCCTCATTGTCAAATGACTTCACCACTTCAATAGGTCGAGGAAAGGACCTACCAATAACTTTTTTGCAGGTTGGGTGGAGTTTGGTTTCAGTGAGCACTCACCAAACCAAAGTTTCATGTATTATGACGAAAGTTATGACGAAAAGGTTTGGTGAGTGGTGCCACCACTCACCAAAAGAAGAGTTTGGTAGTGGTGTAGTGAGATGTAAAGCCACATGATTGAGATGATATAAAACTTGAAGGCAGGTTTCTTTTTTATTTTCTTTTCTTTTTCAAAACGAGGCTATATTCTTATCTCAATTCACCTTTCACTACCCACCCACCACTACTCCTAAGACAGGGGATGCCTGCGAGCATAACTACCTCTTACAGTGAAGGGGATATTACATGTTGCCCCTTGCCTTAGTGGTCCCGGGTGCAAGGTTAGGGCCTCCGGTGGTCCGGCTAACACAATGACTGAGCATTTTGCCAGGAGCTGCACATCACTTTTCTTCGTCCCTCGCCCACATTGAGTAACAGCAGTGTCTAAGGGCAACACTCTCCCACACACCATACACAATCCACTCACACACACTCACACACTCACACTCACACCAGTGCTGGATGACTTGAGTAACAGCCGTGTCTAAGGGCAACACTCTCCCACACACCAGACACAATCCACTCACACACACACACACACTCACACTCACACCAGTGCTGGATGACTTGAGTAACAGCCATGTCTAAGGGCAACACTCTCCCACACACCGTACACAATCTACTCACACACACTCACACCAGCGTTGGCTTTTTCATCCTCAAATCTACTAGGCAGCAATTGGCAGGGATGGACGCCCATAATCTATACGAGGAGATCCATACTAGCTAGTTGACATCTCCGTCGTAGTCTAGTCTGGTTAGGATACCTGGCTCTCACCCAGGCGACCCGGGTTCGAGTCCCGGCGACGGAATTGGCGATGATGATAGTGTGCTGCGTGGGACTGCCGTTCCCGTCATTGCTGATGCCGAGATGCATCGGGGCACATTGTCTGAGCCTTCTTTTGGGCTCTTGCTTTCTTGCTTGGGGCAGACATTGTCTGAGCCTTCTGTTGTGCTCTTGCAATGATGATGATGTGCTGCGTGGGAATATTGTCTCCGTCGTTGCTGATGCCAAGCTGCATCGGGGCACAACATTGTCTGAGCCTTCTTTTGTGCTCTTGCTCCCTGTTGTTGCTGATGCCAGATGCATCGGGGCACATTGTCTGAGCCTTCCTTTGGGCTTTTGCTGCTTCTGTACCGCAGTTTTTCTGCCGGTCTATTTTTTAGTTTGTAATCCGTCTTCAGGAACTTTCTCGAGACGTCGTTATCTCTCATTGTTGAAAACGACCTCCATCGTAACGATGGACGTCGCTCCACTACTTTCGACATGCACAAAAGACCAAATCATGGAGGTGTTGTAGCGGAAGATTCACTCTCGTTTTGCACATTTCGAGAGTAGTGGAGCGAGGCCCGATCGTTTCGGGAGCACTGCCGGTGCATAGAGGGACCGTCCTTCGTTTCCAGCTAATCAAGCAGTCTGGTCGCGTGGAAGATCGACAATGCGACACGTGGACGCTTGTCATCCTTGGGCGGGAAACGCGTCGTAAAGAGCCCGGACGGAGTGTTCGCAACGACGATGTGCCTTTCTCGGTCTTTTCGCTTATGTACAAGCTTCCACTGATCTGTACACTTTTTCACATTAGGACGGCGGCTACCTTCACGCAGTGTTTCAATGCGTATTTTTCCCGTCTCTACTCTATTAGTAGATCTCATGAAAAGTATTGCATACGCCATCTCGTGTGCATTCGTGAGCATACCTCGGCGGGAGACCGACCCGAAAGTATTCGATTTCCCGTGCCGATCGGTGAGTGGTGAAAATCAGTTCTAGCCCGCTCGTCGGTGCATACCGAACATCAGTTTTCAATTTTCCGTGCCCCTCGGTGGATGGTGAATATCAGTTCTACCCCGCTCTTCGGTGGATACAGAAAATCAATCAGTTCTTCCCCGCTCTTTTTTTCGGAAGAAGTCACACTCATTTTTTGCGGTGGCGGTGTTATCGTGTACTTGCCGGAGACCTTACGCGCGGGGGGATTTTGCCCAACAGCGTCGGCAAGCCGGAATTTGCCCTTGGTCGTCAGGCAAACTGGAGAGACTGCAGAGGGGGAGAAATCGAGAAACTGCTCGCTCAGCTAACCTGGCCACGCCAGGTGCACCTATTTTTCTACTCCAAGAGTGGCGGCGCCACGTGGGACCGTGGTGGTGGTGGCCATCCTTAACAATCGGAGAAGAAGAAGAGCTGACCCTTCTTGCACCTTTGTGAGGTCAGCTGCTCGGCGAAGCTGCCATGGATCAAGCTTGTAATACGCCAGACGACGGCGTTCCCCTGCGTGTACTCTTCGAATCTGGGGAGAGGATACATACGCAAGCAGACTCTCTGCTCCTCGGACCCGGGTCGAAGGGTGAGGGAGAGCTTAAGCGGGGGTGCGAAACCCTACTGAAATGCCTAAGACTGGTGGAGGTTCTAGGGTTGTTCTCTCCCAACGAGGACAAAGACGACATTGTGACGGGGGACATCAGATACCTACTGGTACCGTACTATCTAGCGGACCTGATGCAGAGGCGAGTTGATGGGGACAGGAAGGAGCACGTGAGGCTTTCCCGCCTACATCTCTCTGCATTCGTCAGGTCTTGTGATCGTCTAGGTCTTCTGCCTGAGGGAGACCGGGAGGCCATCTCCCGCGAGAAGCCTGCGGATCTGCAGACGCGGCGAACGGAGAAGATTGCGCGGTTCAAGCGCCAACGAGCGGCGGAGGCGAAATTGCAGGAACTGGCGGGGCTGCGGGAGAGAAGATTGCGCTCATCGCAGGCGGGCGCGCAAGGACCAGCGGAGGGGGGCGATGATAACTCGACGCTTGCTGAAGAGGAGTGCGACGACGAGGAAAGAGAGCTCTGGTTTCTTAAGATAGGCTTGGCGTTAGCCAAGGCCCTCGATTTACTCGATTCCCTACAGCGAGAGGAAGAACTTCTAACGGCCTCACGGGACGACGGCGGCAATCTGAGAGAAGAGTATCAGAAGGCTGTTATGGATGAGCGATTGGCAAAGGCAGAGAGACAGCACAGGGAGATGGCGGCAAGTGCAGCCGCTGGGAGAGGAGGAGATAGACGGCACGTGTCACTGATCGGCAGGGATGCGATCGAGGGAAGGCGTTCTGGCGGCGGCGGCGGGGCATCGGTGGGACCGCTGTCCTCACGGCTAGGGCATGCTCAGCATTTGTCCCAGCATCGATGCCCTCACCAAATTTTCGGTCCCGCGAGCTTGATGGGGAAGACCGCGGCGGGAGAGAGGGATCGCCTTGTGTCCCAGGTGTTCCAACCAAGCCACCTGTTGCCCAAATACAGTATTGAGCAGGCAGGCTTGATGGAGATGCGGATGATGGAGAGATGGCAGGCTGACCAGAGGGCGGCGATGGAGGACGCGGCTGCCAAGGGTGATAAGAAAGCACAGAAGGCGTTGAGGGGAAACACCGAGGGCAGCGACGACGATGAAGACGATGATGACGATGATGCGGTTATGAAGGCCAGGGCTTGGGATGACTGGAAGGACGAGCACCGAAGAGGCGAGGGTAATTCCAGACTAACGCCCTGCGGCTGATGGGCGTAAAAGATGGGGAGTTGGAAGCGCTGCGCGCCGTGCTCGGTAGGTGAAAGAAGTGGGGTTTGTTGAAGTGGTCAATAATAGCAGGACGACGCGAAACGACGAAGCCAGGGTAGTTCTAGTAGATAGACTAAGGGCCAGATCCCACTAGCCCCTATTGTTCATTTCTGACCGTTGATCTTCGTAATCGAGGGTGAAAGATGAATAACCCAGGGAAGTGGGATCTGACCCTAACTCCCTGCAGCCGATGGGCGTAGAAGATGGGGAATTGAAACTGCTGCGCGCCGTGATCGGCAGGTGAAAGTGGGGTTTGTTTGAGTGGCGACTACCGGTAGCGCAGGACGAGGAACGAAGAAGCCACAGGGTACTTCGAGATCAACCAACTCCCTGCAGCTGATGGGCGTATAAGATGGGGAGGTAGGGGTGCTGTTGAGTAGGTAAAAGTGGGGTTTGAGTGGTTTTAATAGCAGGAGGGCAATCGTCATAATTGGGCGGGCAGGAGAAGTAAGTAAACGCGCTCCTGATGATAGAGTAAGTTGAGTGGTTGGGGGGTTTGGGAGATGAGTGTCCTTCACCCAGGCAGGTAGGTAGGTAGTTTGGGATTTTGCTGACTGCTCGGAAATGGGGCGGCGTGAAGATGATACGACCTCTCGATTATGTGGCGCGTTGTCTCCCGCTTACACGTGTTCATAGTATACAAAGGGCCGTGCTCGTAGCTAGGGTTTTGAAAATTAGACTAAGTAGAAGAAACATGTTGAGAGTTGGAACTCATAAAATAGGTGATTGTTGGTTCAGGAGGAAGGTCATTTTTTTTTATTTTCATCGTCGGCCGGCGATGATCATGCGGCCGCCAGTGTTTCTTCTTCTGCTGGGTGGTGTCTGAATCAGCGCGTCCGCCAACTATATACCCGTCTTCTACCGAACAAAGCGCACGGTCATTAAATCTGTATTTGGGGAAAACGGAAACAATGACCGTGCGTTCTATATGCAGAAAGGGGGACGCCGGGTAGGTAGGGGTTTATTACTGGCTGATCCTTGGGAGCAGATTGTTGTTGTCGACGCTATATATCTCCTGGACAGGTATAAAGTTTGGCTTGCGCGCTCCTTGTCTCCACTGGACGTCCTTGTGTTGTATCTTTTTATATCCTTTCTTGAACATGTTTCTTTGGCCATTGAGAACATCATCGCTGCTGAAGGAGCACCGAGTTCCTTTTTTTTTTCAAGATAACCAACTGGTGTGTTCGACTGCAGCGTTTCGTCGACACCAATCTGCAGTCCTTGGTGTGCGTCGCGCTTTGCTACCCGAATCTTTGTGAGCAGCTTCCCATTTGTTTTCAAGATAACCAACTGGTGTGTTCGACTGCAGCGCTCCGTCGACATCAATCTGCAGTCCTTGGTGTGCGTCGCGCTTCGCTAAGCAGCCAAAGCCACCTTAATGCCAGTCGCATTACGTCAAAGACGATCTACCTTTTTTTTTTTTTTTCCTTTTTTTTTCTTTCTTTCCCTTTTGGCATCTGGACTCGAACGCGGGTTTATACATTTCAACAGTTCATAGGTGTACCAACTGCGCTAGGCCCCGTCGGTTCCAAGACATCTTCCTCTCATATCCACCCCCAGACGTGGAGAAGAAGACGGCAGAGGACCTGGGTCTGCCCTTCTCTGCCTTCTCGAAATTGGGTTGCCCGATACACGAAGAAATGTCTTTTTCTTTTTCTTTCTTTCCTTCTTTCCTTCTTTCCTTCTTTCCTTCTTTTTCTTTGTTTTTTCTTTTTCTTTCTTTCTTTTTTTTTCTTTGTTTTCTTTCTTGCGCGGAGAATCTCTTTGACGGAATGCCGATCGCGACGACAGGCGAGGGAACTGCCTTTGACTACCGCTGTCTCTCTCTCTCTCTCTTATGCTAGCTACTTTTTTTTTTTTTTTCCCCTCCACGCTGATCCACTCTGTATCGTTCCAATTTGAACGGAATGTCCCGAAGGGACATTGTCATTCTCTCAATCCCAGGCCTCACATCTCTCTGATTGCATCTCTCTGATTGCATCTCTCTGATTGCATCGTCTGTCTCTTCGTAAGAGGCGCGTTGGAGATCCGGAAGAGACAGACGAGGCATGACATCTCTCTGATTGCATCTCTCTGAGGGAACCGACCATCTAGGGTCCTCCGTGGTTTACTGTTTGTACATAGGAGGTTTGGGAGAGGCTTGGAAGAAGCTACAGTAGGTCAGGGTTCGAACCTCGGCAGAGGCCAGGATGGTTAGAACCTCGGAAGAGGCCAGGGCTGGAGAGCCTTGGAAAAGGCCACGGCGAACCTCGGAAGAGGCTTCGGTGCGCGGATTTTACTGATTGGATTGGATCATTGTCCACAAGACGCGTAGCAGGGCACAGCTCGCCAGCATCGAGGAGACAAGAGGCGTCGATTTGACTGAATCGACTGTCCAGGGGTCAGCGGTTCACTGTTTGTTGTAGGTTAGGTAGGAGGCTGAGAGGGGCTCGGAAAAGGCCAGGGTTCGAACCTCGGAAGTGTTCAGGGTTAGAACCTCGGAAGAAAGAAGCTAGGTCAGGGTTAGAACCTTAATTTGGAAGGAAGAAGCTCGGTAGAGGCTACTGAGGGGGGCTAGAACCTTAATTTGGAAGGAAGAAGCTCGGAAAAGGGCTACTGGGGTTAAGACCCTTAGTTGGGAATAGGCACAGGAGAGGCTCCGCATGTACTCCTCGGGTTATTTCGGATTGCATCATCCGCAAGTGACCCCTCATCAGGGCCCAGCTTGTCAACATCCATCCAGGTGGCACTGCATCTCTCTCTACACTGGCACTGCATCTCTCTCTCCACTCCGTGACAGAAGGTTAACCGACCCCCCATTTTTCACCTCCATTTATAAAAAAAACAAAGGGTCATTTTAACCATACTTCACACCAATCTGTAGAGTGCACTTCTTACTAACT